TAATATAAATAATTAAATATATGACCATTTAATAATATTTATAAATTTAAAAAATATATAATACAAAATTATGAATATAAATATCATTTAAAAATTATATATTTATATATTTATAAGAATAATATTTAATATAATATATAAATTTATAATATTAATATTTTATAATATAATTATTATAATATATATTATAGTAAATTTATAATACATATCATTCAAATTTATAGCCCAACTAAAAAAAATTGAAGCCCAACTAAAAAAAATTTTGAAGCCCAACTAGCCCAAATAAGCCCCAAGTCACATTCTAAACTATTAATGCAACTTTTTTAGTCCCACATCATAGGGGGAGTTTAAAGATGTTTCCTTGAACCCTTTATAAAGTGAGAAGTACACTCTTTTTGGAAAATAAATTATGTGAGGTATTTAAGATAACTTGCATCTATTATGATGAAATTAATCATCATATTTAATAAAAATATTTTTAAAAGTTTAAAAAAAATTAATAAACAAAAATGTATTTTTAAAATTTTAATTAAAACAAAAATAAAATATTTTTATGAACCGGCCGGTTCTTTCCAACCCGGACCGGTTAAACGGTTCACCGGTTGAACCGCCGGTTTAATCAGGTTTGATCCGGTTTTATGCAGAGCCGGTTCTGAAGCTGGATCGGACCGGCCACCAGACTGGTTCAAGGTCGAACTTTTGAACCGGCCGGTCCGGTCCGGTTTTCAAAATCTTGATTTTTACAAACATAACACTTAAAACTATGTTATTTACTCATCTAATACCTAAACTTATCTATTTACATACATACCACTTAAAAGCTCTTTGCCTTTCTAAAATACCACTCCATTTCCACTCCATGAAAAGCCATTCGATCGTTGGCTCCTTCGATTGCCAAGTCCCCTTTTTAATAATTAATGACAATCACATCGAAAGGCAAAATTAATAGGTCTTCATCCAAACATCAACAGAAGGAATTCTCTCATCTCTTGCAAATCCCTTCACCAAACACAAAAGATCTCACAGTAACATAGTTCTCCAAGCAAAGGAAATAAACAGAGCTCTTCACTTAGCAAACAGGGCAAATGATATAAGAGAAGCGAACTGAGCAGAGGAGCTCCGGTGAAAACTCAACGCTCCGTTCTCCGTTGCTTCTCCTAGGTTCTCGAAATGAAACCCAAATATTTCCATCTAGGGTTTTCAATGATTTTTTTTAGTTATATGTAAGAATATCGATCTAAAATTTGGATATCTTCATTTGAAACTCAGTTTAGTGTTTCGGTTTCTTCATTTGTTATTTGTGATTAATGTTTATTGCAAGCTTTCGATTAGCCTCAAACCATAACAGAATATCAATTTCTTTTTTTTTTTTTTTAAGGGTCATACCTTCAGATCTCACAAACACCAGCCATAAACCTCCTTATTCGCTTCAGTTATTTGCACCGAACAACTGAAACTGGAGATTGGATAGGACGGGAGGCTGTTTACCAAATCGATTTTGTTCTGTTTCAGAGGCAGAATGGACAGGAGGCTAGATGGGGGAAACGAAATTCTTCGACGGGAACAATGGGCCGCATTTCGACTGGAACAGTGATGCGTTTTGTTCTTCGACGGAATAGAGAAGATGAGCAAACGCCGAGGAAGATGAGTTTCACGCGCAACAAGTGTATCAGGTGGGTTTTCACGGAAGATGAAATGGAGTGGTATTTTAGGAAGACAAATAACTTTTTAGTGGTATGTGTGTAAATAGGTAAGTTTAAATGTTAAATGTGTAAATAATATAGTTTTAAGTGTTATGTATGTAAAAACCCCTATATCAAAATGCCTTTTCCCCAATCATTTTGGTTTAAAAGAGAACAGAAATTGAATTAGAGAAGAGGAGAGAGGAGAGAGGAGAGAGGAGAGAAAACATAGGATTTGGGGATCATAAAACCATTTTTGCAAGACGGTCCAGTTAAAAAATTTATTCATCTCAAGGTAGGCAATCATTACGCTTCCTTTGATTTTAATGATTTGTGTTTTTTTTTTAATGAAATTTAATATGGTCAAAACCTGTAAAAATTGCAATATCTCAATTTTTAATAAACTTCCACAATGTATTGTACGTTTTAGTTTTAACATTTTGCATACATTAATATGAATATATTAAATTTTTTATTGGATAAATTGATAGTTATAATTTTTTTAAGTTAATAAACAATATATAAATTTTTCTGCATTTCATAAATTATTATTTTTCATACATGATATCGAGTTGTCTAGAGGAAATGATGATAAATATGACATTTGCATATAAGCTAGGAATACTAGTTGCTAACACTATAATTATTACGAGTTGTCTCTTAAAATATAATACCCTGAACAGAGAGGTGGCTCGATAGACTTTCCTTAAAATAAAAGGTTAGTGGTGTGATCCTAGTTGTAGCTTGTAACTGATTAACAAAATTATGTCAATCAGTAGAGAATAATGACTCTTAAATGATTATTAAAAGCCACCTATAAATTGACTTTAGATGAACAATGATGATGAGATAAAGATCGATGATCAATTGGTCGACAATTGAGGTTAAATTAAAGACTTATGACTAATTGTGCGACAATTGGGGTGGAAGGATGTCTTGTCATGCTCTTTATAATTATATTTATGATTGCATTTATATTTAGTGCATTGAACTGATTAATAAATAGAACTGAAATTTTATTGAGAGAATCTGCATTGATATATTATGCATGCTAACATGGCCTATTAATTGATAGTTCTTTTTATTCACTTTTTATAGTTAAATAGATCTCTTTTGGCCTTACTGATTATATTAATTTCATTATTGATTTAAATGAATTTTATAATATTGTTGGAATAAGCATAATGCTTCTTTTGTCTTGCATTGAATGCAATGATAATTTTTTGTTACTTGTTGGGTTTTGCAAGCTCATTATGTATTTTTTATATAATTTTAGGTAAAAATATGAAGTCATATTGTGAGGCTAATCAATGATGATAGTTTAGTTTTATATATATATATATATATTTGTAGCTTGTGATGACTACTATATGTATATTTTTGGATTTTAGTCTTTGATACAAGATGTAAATTTTGACTATCTTAATGTGAATTATGTTTCCCCTTTTTGTATTTTATTTTTTGAATGATATTAATTAGCCCTAATTGTCAATGATCTTGTTATTTTGAATTGAAAAAGAAATAAAAAGAAAAATAAATGAAATTCTTGTATTTTAGATAATTGCATGTGACAATATAGACATACATGAACTTTCACATATATGACAAAATTAATAATTTGAACAGGGTAAACGTGCATACACATTTAATTGTTACAAATCAGAAAATTATTCCTGGTTAACATTCTCAGCATTATTTTGAATAATTTATTATTCTGTAGTAATTTCTATATTTGTCAATATACTCCCAAAAATATCTAAAATAGTGTACATATATAAATATCTGAAAAAAATTTATATCTTTTTTTTGGTCAATATGACCAAAAAGTTCTATTGTACCACATAAAAAATCATATAATAAAAACATTCTAAATCTCCATAAATTTGTATTTATACAAACCCAAATAAATTAAAACACAAAAAATACTCATACAAGCTTCGAAATTGAAATATGAAGTAGGGTAATAGTAAACTACCTCAAGACGAGCAACTTCATCAACTAGCTCAATGAGTGAAATTGGCTCTACGACCTCCAAATCCTGCTTTCTCTCTCTATGATTATCTCCTTCTCTCTCTAGGCGAAAGCCCAAGGGAAGAAAATAAGGAAAATATGCAATTTCTAAAATGGATTTTGATATTGGTAAACACAGTGCTTCAATGATACTATCCTTAGCTCTACAATGCTCTCAAGGGAAAAACACTGACATCTAAATATAGAACCTAGTGTCATAGTTCCATATTCCCAGAATCGTAGTGCTCCCAAGGGAAGTTCTAGCATCAGACAAAAACTTCAACGATGCAGTGCCAACCCTTCAGCATCACAATACTCTCTGTCTCTCACTTACTAGTAGAGAATATTGTACCACAATACCGCAAAATTCCCAAAGAGAAAATTTCTACGTATTATTTTCACTTTTCTAGTTTAATAACCTCTCTATGGCTAAATTAAACATAAAATAAGTATAAGGTTCATAGAGATTTAATAGGTACTTAATGAACTTGTAATTCTTATCAGATTCATTTTAAGTCAATGTAGGAAAATTCAGCATTCTAGAAGTGGATATTATGTAATGTGTATCCTAGCATTTCTTGAGAAGAGTGGGCAAGGCTACAAGGTCAAGAAAGTGTCAAGCCTTTGTAGGCTGACCAAAAATTCATTCATGAAAAAATATATAGCTTTGAGAATTCTTATTATTTATTAAAATATTTCTTATATGATCTCTTCTCTACAACTCACATCATCAACCCCTTATTTTGACAAAATGTGACATTGGGCCTTGACAACTAATCTAATGCAAAAAATTTAATGAAATCCCCCTAGTCCTCCATGCATCACCGGGTACCCATATAAGTGGCCATATTCCCGGTGAATATTCATATCAATGATCGATTTATTTTATCAGCTTTAAGTCTCATATCATAAAGGGTAATTAACACCGTCTCAATCATGAATTTATCCAATAAAACCCTGAACTGGAGACAAGGCCTCCTTATCACCACAAGGAGCTCTAGCTCAATTCGTTTATTAGTCATACAAAAGGAGATCGACTAATTTGAGTTTGATAGCTATATGATAATTTGTTATATTGAAGTTAGGATTGAGGCTCAATAATGCTTCATTAGAGAGTTTAATCATAAACATCAAACTTTTGATCATCTAGGTTCTCATCTGCTACACTTATATGATTGATTGTTATATGTCTCCTAAGATGTTCACCTCCATCAAAATTACCTAGGTAGTAAAAAATCGCCAATGATATGTATCGATCCTCCCAATGATATGTATCGATCCTCTAACAACAAAGTATGATTGCTAGTAAATCTATCAAATTGATGTTTTATTATCATATGGGTGTGAAAATAATGATGCAAGTCACTCCAAAAGGCATATACTATGCCCATCATCCTCTAATCAATTTTTCTTTCTTTTCTAGCAGTTTCAATCTCCTAAACTAATCCCTTTCCTTGGACAAGCTCTTCTCTTAAAATAACTCTAGTCGAGACTCGATAAGTTCCCTTCAACAACTCACTTGAAATGACATGAATCCCTTACTAGTATTTTACTGTTCACTTTATATATGAATTTTTGCAGTCGGCATATTTCAAATTTCTCACTAGAATGAGATCGAAACAAGCTTTGATATAAATTAAGGAGATGAACTATGATAACGAGTTGCTACTAAATATATCTCAAAATACATAAATTCACATTTATGCTAAAACGAAAGTGGAGTTTCTATTTGCTCCCCTCAATGAATCCTTTTAAATTTAAAATCCTAAGAGATGCATAGAAATATTAATTTTGTCAGAATTTTAAGAGTCCCATTGAATCCGCGTTACGTGGAATTCTAAGTAGCACAGGGACAACTGAGCATTTCTTCAAGAACTTTCATCGAAAATATTTTCTTGGGACCGAGAGCATTTATATCATTAATATCAAATCAATTTTTTCATGTCAGCATGAAACAGGGTAATCAGTTTCAATGATTTGTAGCAGCAAAACCTGCTTGTATGTGTAAAAGAACGGCAAACAAAAAAGAAAAAAAAAAAGAAAAAAAAAAGAAAAACTGTGCCAATGCAGGAGAACTGTACAGCTTTTTTTTTGGAAAAATTTGGGCAATCCCGTATATTAAAGAATAGAACTTACAAGTAAAATAAAAAATCTCCGCCAGCAAGAGAACCAAATGGAAAGAACATTCATTTTTACTGAATTTCAGACAAAAGAACTTGCTACAAGAAAACAATCCTCCCTTCTAAACCAGAAATTATTAGGTGAAGAGTTCAAACGTAGAGATACATTCAGATATCCACTTAAAATTTGACATGTTGAGTGCACTTTGGTTGCACTTTTTTTGTGCGCTTTACTTGTGATTTATCTACGCTTTAGTTGCATTTTTTGCTCTTTTATTGCGTTTTTTCACTGCGCCTTGACTGCGCTTTACCTGTGTATTTGGTGCACTTGGCTTAAAGTTCCACGAACGAATTGAATATCCACATGTTTACTCCACATGTCAATATTTTATTGGAGTCCAAACTTACCTCTATGTCCGAACTCCACACCTAATAATTCCTCAAGCTAAACTAACAGGTATCCCGCCTCCAGAGCTGCAGCAGAAACAAGTCCAGCTCATCTCAATACAACCGGAAATCAAGAAACAAACTAAATAGTTATTTATATTACAGTATGGTAGGCGGACTTGGGGCTGTATCACAATAGCCTCTCTTGATTTGTTGGCTACACTATTTAAGCTTCCATAATCTCCAACAACTCAGCATCCCTTCCGTTGCGATTAACAACTACTCAAGAGGAGAAGCAGGGCTTATTAGTCTGAAGCTCCCACTACAACTACTCAAGAAATCACTAGTCGACAGATTGCCACGCAGGTCCGAATAATCGCTCCTCGGCATATCAATCTCCGAGCTATGCGCTACAATAACTTGCAGTCGCTGCAGGAATTCAGGCATTGAGGGAACTGGAAGCGTTACAGAGTGTCTACTAAGCATCACAGCTAAGGAATTCATGCTCGGCCTTTCTATAGGATCTTCTTGTACGCAAAGCAGTCCTATTTGTATGCATTTCAATGCCTCTTCCGGTGGATACTCACTGCCCAGGCTGTGATCCACCAGTTGCAGTGCCATTCCTTGGTTCCAGTATTGCCATACCTTCATATCAAATTGCCGCACACAAGAGTTATAACTTATTACACTAATTAAGGCTTCCTTTGGGACGGCTTTCCTACTGCTTCATAGTTTTCTTTATACTAGAATGCCGTCTCAAACGAAGCCTAAGTTTACTCCGTCAAATCAGAAAATGTGAGGGCTTACATAGCTTAGAAAATCTAAATTGTTGCTTGCACTTAAGAAACAACTGCTGCTTCGGCCGGTTATAATCTCTAGTATGAGCACGCCATAACTGAACACATCAGACTTAGTAGAGAAGAGCCCGCGGAAAGCATATTCTGGTGACATGTATCCACTGCATTATGGTAGTAAGAGCCAACTGTGAGGATTCTTAGATATTGCATAATTTGGCAACAAAAAAATGTAGAGTACTCACTATGTACCAGCGATGCGAGTAGTATTATTGCCTTCGTGCTCATTAATGCCGGAAAGTTTTGCAAGTCCGAAGTCTGAGATCTTGGGGTTCATGTCGGCATCAAGCAAGATGTTGCTTGCCTTCACATCACGGTGAATGATTCTGAAACGCGAATCTTCGTGGAGATAAAGAAGGCCACGGCAGACACCTTCAATGATCTTGTACCGTGTTGGCCAATCCAGTTGTATTTGTCTATCAGGATCTGCAGTGTTTTTCAAAGAAGTTTCAATCTATATTATTTGATTTAACACATGATAAAAGCTGATAAGACATTTAAGCTAATTATAACATTGGTAAACAATTGACTCGGATCATGATATTTCTCTTAATTAGCGGCTAAGTTCATTTTAAATGATAGAAAGTAGATACAGTAAAATCAAAATTATTTTTGACATTAGTTCTATTAGGTACAATGAAGTATTGCAAAAGCATTATCTAAATATGCATTTAAATGATTGGATGTTGACTATCATACAAATGCTTATTTTTTTATCCCTTTAGTTTATGAATGCATTACTTAGATTCATGCATACATCTTAATTGTTATGTTCAAAAGATTTTTGATTTAGTTATCAATTAGAAATGTTGTTTTGAATTTGCAAAACATTCACAAATGGCACATTGGCGTTTTTTATTAACATTTTTTCTCAAAATGTTCAAAGATTTCATTTTTAAAATCAGTTAACATTGATATGATTAATGGCGAGAATACTTCAACTTCACTACCCTCACACTCCAACTGATTCCTTTGTTGTCATCCGTTAGAGCCTGCCGCCACTTCCAATGAGCACTTTTCTACTTTATGTAACTACCTAGGGTATTTTAGTATTTACATCTTCTTCTTCTAACACTAATATAAAAACTCATCTAAGTATGCTACAACAACAAGAGTGAATACAATGGTTTACTGTTCATCTTATGTTTTGATTCATTTGCCTGCGTGTTTAGCTAGCTACCAGGCTCTGCTCAACGACTTCAACATGGTATCAGATCCATGTGCCTAACGGCTCTCCCATTCACCGTCGATTGGCTGTTCTACAGTGTCTGCACCATCCATGCCTTCGACACTAACCTCTGATACCCCCGCATCGCCTGAAGTCTCAATACCACCCACCCTAAAGTTTCTTCTCTCCAACCTCAAGAACGTTATCAACATTCAACTTCTCCCCGATAACTACCACACATGGATATCTGCAATCCATAAGCTTTTTGCAGTGAACAACTTCTCCGGCTACCTTAATGGATCCCAATTTTGTTCACCCAAACATCTGTTTACCGCTACCGGCCAATTTACCCCTAACCCTCAATTTTCTTTATAGACCAAAATCTCTCTGTTGCTCTTTTCTCCACCATTTCCTCCTCTATCCTTCCTTATATCCTCAACCTCGACACCTCTGTGTCGATTTGGAAAACGTTTGAGCAACACTTCTTTTCTACTAACCGTTTTCGAGTTATACAACTCAAGAACGAGCTTAACTCCCTATCAATGAATAACAAGACAATGTCGAATTATCTTTCCTCTGTCAAAACCATTGTAGACAATATCACTGCTGCTGGCGGCACCGTTGACGACAATGAAGACATCTTGCTTTACATACTGAATGGCCTTCCTCCATCTTATCAATCCTTTAAGACATACATCAGAACTTCTCTTCATCCCATTAGTTTGGACGATCTATATTCGCTCCTACGTAGTGAAGAGATAAAACAAACTATCGATGTTGTTAAGGAGCTATCCATGTCCAACACTCCTCTAACAGACTCGGCATTCACCCTTCTGTCTAACCACGGTCATTCTTGCGGTTGTTTCAACTACAGTCGTGTTCGTACAAACTCCGCTACCTCAATTTGCCCCCTCCGTTTGATGGAGATTGCCAAATATGCGACAAACACGGCCACTCCGTGCTCACCTATTAGCACTAGGACAACTTTTAGTTTGTCCCTCTGGCATCTACCTCCAACCTCACTATATTTGTTGATTCTAAACCAGCTCCGAGCCTCTGTGGTATTTAGACAATGGTGCCAATGTGCATCTCACCCCTGATCTACTACCTCTTCAGCATCCTACACGCTATGCCGACAAATATCAAGTATTCATTAGCAACGATACCTTGCTTCCTATAAAACATTATGTGGTAACTATTTGCTACCCACTTCCATTCATAAGCTTCCTCTCAACCCTTTATTTCATGTTCCCAATCATACCCACAGACTTCTCTCCATCTCTAAATTGATCAATGATAACAATTGTTCTATTATATTTGTCAAAATTGATTTTCATGTCAAGGATCAGACGACCGATCACACTCTTCTTCAAGGACCGTGGCATAAAGGACTCTACCCTATTTCTCTCAGCTCAACTCTGTCCCCCCTCATCGCTGCTGCAACCATCGTTGTCACTCCATCTTTCGCAACTACTTAGCACTGATGCTTGGGTCATCCCAACTCCAGCATCCTTGCCACTCTCACTAAGTTTTTTCCATTTTTATGTGTTTCACAATATCAATCTATATGTAGCTCCAGTTCTTGCAAAAAGTCACATGCTTCCCTTCTCCCCCTCTAACCATATATCTAGTGCTATATTAGAAGTAATTCACGTTGATGTTTGGGGTCCCTCCTCTATTCTTTCTTATGATGGGTTTCGATATTATGTATAATTAATTGATGATTACACACGTTACATTTGGCTCTATAATCTAAAAAAGAAATCAGATGTTTCTCAAATGGGTGCTCCTCTACCTCTGAGGCATGATCAACTACGACCTTCTGCTCCCAAAGACTGAGCTCACTCTCTCTACTTTCTCTGATTCAAATTGGGCTGGTTACTCCCTTGACCGCAATTCAACTATAGGTTACTATAATTATTTCAATAAAGCTCTTCTCACTTGGTATGTCAAGAAACAGTCGATCGTAGCACGGCCCTCTAATGAAGATGAGAATCAATCTCTGGCAGCTGTTGCTTTCGATCTCATCTAGATTCGTCTTCTTTGCTAAGATTTCCATATTCCCCTAGACACCACTCTAATTTTCTACGATAGTATTTCGGTAATTTCCATAGCATGCAATGCTATTTTTCATACCTGCATCAAACACATAGAGATCGATCATCACTTCATCTGTGATTGTATTCAAGCGTAGCACTTTGTCATTCTCCACATCTCTACAGTTGATTACGTCGTAGATATATTTACAAAGTCTCTTTTGTCTACCAGACTTTATACGCTTCGCAACAAGTTAATGGTCCTCCCAACCATCAACTTGAGGGACGGTGATAAGGATATTTCAGCTTCACTGCCCTCACACTCCAACTGATTCATTTGCTGCCATCCTTCAGAGGCTGCCGCCACTTCCACTGAACACTTTTCTACTTTATGTAACTACCTAGGGTATTTTAGTATTTGCATCTTCTTCTTCTAACACTTGTATAAAAACTCATCTAAGTATGCTACAACAACAAGAATGAATACAATGGTTTACTGTTCATTCTCTATTTCAATTCATTTGCCTATGTGTTTAGCTAGTTGCCAAGCTCTGCTCAGCGACTTCAACAACTAATATATAATTAGCATTCCAATTAACTTATTTTATGCAGTCAATTAAGCGGTATAATTAATTTTGTGTGAAAAATCAATAATTATTATAATTTTTGTAAATCCTCTTGATGATGTTAAATGCAAGAAAAAAGTATTATTATTTGTGCAAATCATATATTTTATAATTAGCTCAGGAGTTATTTAATGATGAAGAAATTTGTTCGATGTCATCTATTAAACATGTTTAGTATTTAATAACGTAATTAATAAAAGAATAGCATCGGCTAAGCTTGTTTGAAGATCCTCTAAAAATTTATTCAAAACTTTTATTAAAAACAAGTAAATTATTGATTTGGTTCTAATATTTGAGTTACCCTTTAGCTGTGATAATATAAGAAATTATGATTGGAGCTTTGCGAAAGACAAACAGATTAATCATTATAAAAAAAAAGAGAAAGGTAACGACAACTTAGAGGAGATACTGCCACAGATTTATCTCTTAAAGAAAAAAGAGCTAACGACAACTTAGAGTAGATACTGACATAAATAACTACAAGTTGAAACTAAACAAATCAATCCTATCGTTTCCTTATCTTAATTTGAATTGTTTTTATTGTTGATTCAAGGCAGGACCAGCGACTTCTTTTGCCGGCGGGAACCATTATTCTATTCAACTGAAAAGATTTAAGTATCATATATACTATAGAACATACCGAATAATAATTTGTCCAAACTCTTATTTGGGAGGTATTCATACACAAGCAGCTTCTCGTCTTCTTCCAAGCAACAACCCACCAGTCTCACCAGGTTTTTATGCTGAAGCTTAGCCATAAAAACCACCTCATTTTTCATCTCCAATATCCCCTGCCCTGAACTCCTTGATAGCCTTTTCACTGCTATTTCCTGCCCGCCTCTCAGAACCCCCTGCTTAAATTTAAATCAAATAAAACCTTAACTATATTCCTCAAATTTGAGTAATATTTCTGACAAGGAGATCGATCAGCTAAGGTTTTACCATATAAACGGGCCCAAATCCACCTTCTCCCAGCCTATTTGCTTCAGAAAAATTATTTGTTGCAGATCTAATAGTGGCTAGATCAAGCGACATTATTGCATTACTGCTTATATCATCATCTTCTGCATTCCCTAAACAATAAAAAAAGGTTAAGATTTAATGTTGCTTATGATTATAATAACTTAATTTATACATTAGAGAAAGAAACATTACTGGATGACAACACTATTGGCTTCTTCCTTCTTCTTCTTATTAAGAAAATAAAGATTGCAGAGAGGAACAAGAAGGCAACTGCTCCTCCAGTGGTCCCAGCAATAATAAACTTTTTTGTATTTTTGTTTCTTTGACCTGCAAAGCAGTGATGGAAACTGAATAAAATACTGATTAATTTCATTTGTGGAAATAATGATAAACTGCAAATTAAATGCTAAATGTCTTTTTGCAGGGATTTAAATATCTCAAATAAATGATGATTAGTATTATAATTCACTGTTTAGAGTAGCCCAGATAGGTAAAGTTTGCAGGCTATCTTGCATGCATAATGCACAAAACTTTCCTTTGGCAACTTCAATGAACAATATTACCACAAAACCTTCAAATTAGTGAAATAATCCTTATTCATCCAAACAGAGATGGTAATTGAGATTATAGACTTAAGCTTCATTTGGAACGGCTTTCTTTCTGCTTTTTAAAGCAGCTTTTTACGTCTTAAAGCAGCTTTCTAGTACAAAAATTGTACTATGAAGCTGCTTTAAGAATCAATAAGAAGGCCGTCCCAAACGAAGCTTTGGACTAATAACTTTTTTGTTGCTTTCTAAAATAGCTTTTTAGTAAACACTAAAAAGCCATTTTAAAAAGCAATATAAAAGCTGTTCCAAACAAAGTTTTAGTACCAAAAGTCTAACCAAAAAGAGTGTTTAATTTCGTAGGAAAAGAAAAAGCTGATACAAGCTGTAACTAAAAATGCTTTTTGATAAGAGATTTATTTTTTTTTTTGGGACATTTAGGCCAATTAAGATAAACTCACACACACCACGCATACACAAAGACTTGAACCTAGGACCTCTTAGTTGAAGCATAAGCTCTCAACCAACAGCCCAAGGTGGGTGAGCTGTGTTTGATAAGAGATTTTATTATCTCAAATGATGATCCGTACTTCAACTTGGCGCATAAAGGAATCCAGCTTGATCAAATTTTTCTTTTTGCTTGCATTATGAGCTCTTTATCTTTTTTGGGGGAAAAATAAACTCTCTTTCACAATTTCAGCCCAATACCTTCGGATCCGGGCATCAATCTCTTAACGAAACAGAGTATTTAAGTTTCCCAACCAGACATATCTTAAGTAATTAGAAATTCATTAGATGTCTAAATTAAACGATCATTGATCGATCAACTCACCCGTCCCACCGTCGATCCCACTATTATCCCCATCACCGGAAAAAGCCGACGGAACAGGCGGCGACGACACTAACTGCTGCGAAAAGAACAAATATTGCTCGAACCTCACGGCACAGCTCACACTCTCCACTTGAGCTCCAACCTTTGTCATGACTAGCACCGACATCGCCCAATAGAGACATTGCAAGCAATCGCTGCTAGAGAGGTCCCTAGTGCACCACGCCATTCCGTACACATCTTTCTGATGGGAGCTGTTCGCGGCAAATCTCGACTCGGCAGCCGCCGCCGCATCAGAAACCTTTTGCATCAGCCGCTTCACCCTGCCGGAAAATACTTTGGGCTTAGAGGCGTTCTCGATTTCGTATCTGCCCTCAAGAGGCGTTAGCATTGACATGCCGAAGAAGCGATTGTCGGAGTAGCGAAGGAGACAGTAGTCGTTACGGATGGCGGCCGACTTGTTGCGGCCGCAGACGCCGGCCATGAGAGTTGAAGACGCGCGGGATAGGCAGGAAGAACAAAGTTCTTTGGAGGAATCTGGGCGGCACTGCGCGAGGACGAAGAGTTGAGAGGAGGAGGAGTTCCCGGCGGTGGAGGTGGAATAAAGAGATGGTGAGTTGGGGACGGAGTGGGTGATGCCGGCGAGGATGCGATGGAGGTTGGTAGAGTAGGGGCTTGAAGAGTTATAGTTGTCACCAAAGCAGTAGGTGAGGAGCGTAGTGCTCTGGGAAGAGGTTTTGATGGAGAGAAAGAAGATGATTTGCAGGGCGGAGAGGAGGAGAGAAAAGAGTGCCTGCATGGCGGGTATAGATGCCATGGAGGTGCCAAGTAGATACTTAAGTCTATTGCTTGATAGATGTCATTTTTTACTTTTTAAATTCGTTTATTGTTAAAATTTTGATTTTTGGATCTTCTCATACAGATCTAAAATCTAAATATTTATATTTGTATATATATAAATTTAAATATTAAATATACAAATATATTAAAATTTTATGGTGTACAGAAAATTTCCTAAATTGTAGATGGATAGTTTTATTTTCTGATTTGTAAAATTGGTGATCAATATATATTTATATAGGAGCATAAAAATATATTTATTTAAAATGAAATTAAAATTGAGTTAAATTTTACGGTATTTTATTATTATTTTTATATTTTTTATTATTTTTTAAATAAATTTTACGGTATTTAAATTATCTTGTATATTTTTTTTTTCAGAAAATCGTATAATTACTAACATAAACATATATTTATTTAAAATGAAATTAAAATTGAGATAAATTTTATGGTATTTAAATTCTCAAGTAAAATTTTTTAAGAAAATCATATAATTTGTGTTGAAAGTTTTCTTATTTTAAGGAAATACCTTTTTAATTATGTTTTAATGCATGAGAATTTTGATATGATTTTTTTCTATCTAATATTATTAGACATGCATAATTATAATTTTAAGTACATATTTGAACAATCAATAATATGGATCAATCATGAGTTGGATGATTTTATCTTTTATCGATTAAACAAACATTAATACGTCTTTACAACACCTAATCCATATATTCTCATAAGAGCAATATATGTGACAAATGATTAGTAATCAATCAAAGGTACAAATGCTAATAGCTTATTAATGGATGAGAAACATCAATAATGGATGAGAAATATCAATAGTTAATAAACTTCCTTCACCTTTCTTCGATGCGAGTTAATTATAATGCTTAAAGGATTTGGAAGATGATGACAAGTGTTCTTGGTTGATCCACTAATTATGATTAATTGTTATAATACTTGAAGATTAAGTGATTAATCATTTAAATTATTTAATGATTTAATTGCTTAATTGCAGTGTTTCCTTAGCTTTATTCAAGTTAATCTTCGCTCATGTATGATCTAATGGTATATACAAATTTAAAAAATAATAATAAATGGATATTAGAAAAATTGAAGTTTGATCTGAGGGGGGTGGAACTTCCTTTTCATATGTTCATCTCTGATGCAATCATAGTAAGTTGAAGGTTGATTTGAATTTTAATATTCTTATTTTTATTACATTGCACAAACAATGCTTATCTCAGGCACAAGCTATGTCAGATTTGTGTTGTCACTCCTTTTTATTATTTAAGTATTATCATTTAGTCATAGTACAATCAATTTTCAAGAGCCTCATAGAACATGGTAATTGTATTTCTTAATTACAATCACATCCATTTTATATCTTATCATAAGTCGCGCCATCTAATTTATAGTTTTGTCATAAATTTTCTCAATAAAGACAGAATTGAAAATTTTAAAAATACTCTAATAATTTTCATCAGATTTAAGAACAATGTTGATCATAAATTTTCACATAGCTCATTGGCCTCCTCTACTTGGGGTTCGAGGGCCTTGCCCTCAAAAATTTGTTTTCCATATAGCCATACATCACTGTGGCTCTATACATTAGAGCGCTGCAGTCTTATACACTTGTGCACTGTAATATCGTAGTATGCAGCGTGACAGTTATGTAGTCTTTACTTAAAGATAGAGAGCGAAGCGTTACGGCCCTCCAGGGCCAGCATGCAAGCCAGGCTAGTGATAAAGAGTAGAGCACTAACATCACGACACTGCGAGTCAGGATTGGCAATTGTCTTTTTCATTTTTCATGCTTAACTTGAATGATTGCATCCTTTAGTGTAATTTAAGAGCATCTCGTTGTCTATTCTGAGTAGAGAATGAATTGTGAAGTAAAGAGAGAAAAAAGGTGAAGTGTGAGAGAAGAGATCTGCTCAATTTCTTCTAAATTTTTATAATTAATTTCTTAGTGTGTTGTGTGTCTCAGTTGTTTTTTTCCCAATTTTGAAATTTTTAAGTCAAATCTTGGTGTTCATTTTCGTTGTTTCTTTCTTATTATTATTTTTTGAGTGAAGAGAGAAATGTCGCAGTACCCTAAAGACTAGCGTCATAGTGCTCCCAGCAATATTTTTTCCCAATCAATCTTAGACTTATCTATTTGATCAACTCTATGCCATTTTCTATTGCTAAATTATAATATCTAATAATGAATACAATATTCTTACTAGATTCTTTAGTAGCATTTATTACATTAACACCTGAGAAAATTGAGTTTGAATTAATGTCCAAATAGTAAATTGAGTTTGAATTAATGTCAAAATAGTTGTAAAATTTGCTTGTATTAAAGTAGTAGTAATTTGTTCTTCCTTATGTATTTAAGTTCTTATGTTGAAAACCAAGGTCAAGTTCAATCGAAGGCAAAGTAGAATCGAAGGCAAAGTAGACTGAACTTCCAACCCTACGGTCCACTTAGTAACACTTGATCAGCACAACACAATAGGACTTATGATGTGGGGAGATAATCATTGGATCATTGGAAGAAGAGGGTGTTTGAAGGATTTCCAAGTACAAGATAACAAACTAAGCTAAAAGGCTTCAATTCATATAGTATTCATCATTCCCCCATCCTACTACAATGCTTCATATATAAGCTAGCTATAAAATATTCTAGAAAACACTAGAGAAAAAGGTACAAGAGGTATTCTAGTCCTAAAACTGCACTTAGTTAAGATGTTCCTACATCATTCTTCCCATGCGTCAAAAGAGCTCGACTCCGTCGAAGCGTGTTATAGGGAGGGAGATAGATGTGGAAATTATAATAAAATCCCAGGATAAAAAAATTCTACTTCTTTGATGCACGTCCACAAGCTCGATCAATGGCATTATGAGTTCCTTTGAACTTTCACAAATTTGCTTACTTCGATCAATAACAACATATTTGACCCTTGAAATGAATTCTTTATCCCAACTAGAATCACATAGTAAGCTCATGATTCCATCCAAAAACTTTTGTACCATTTGAGGCAGCTATTTACTGCTGAACTCTATTAAATGATAAAGACATTGATTATTCTAAAAACAATAAAACACATATTTAAGTGTGTTTACGTGTCCTGTTGTAATTGGTTAAGATTTGTATAAGCTGTGTCTATAAATAGTCTTGTCGTCTACTGTTTGTACTGGGAAAAATTAATAGAAGCTTTTCTCTGTTTGGTGTTCTCTTCCTTTATCTTTCCTGTGTGCTTCATAGCTTTACAGGTTAACAAACTCACCATTCAAAGAATTCCATGAGATAAGATTATTCTCAGTCAATTCATGAAATAGCTTATGAGCTAATTCTAAGCTGATAAGCACTTAAATAAGCAAGCCTCCTTATTTGTACTAGTTTAATCCTAACAGCTACTTTTTAACAAACTCCTTTAATCAGCACCTTTGACTTTTTAACAAACTCCTTTCATCAATGCAATACCATGGCCATTTTATCTTAGTTACTATAGCTCTTCCCTGCTTCTCTTTGCGTTTTGCTCTCTGTTCTTGTTGACCTTTATATAATATCCAAAAGAAACAGAGATAAAATCATACCTATGATCCATCGAATCCAGGAATCCCGCAGAAATTACCGTGCATTCGGCGCCGCTCGCGTCGCTTCCCGCAATTCCTACAGAAATCTCGCGATCTCGCCTCCATCGTTGCTCCGATCGCGTCTATAAAATGGAGCAGAGCCCTGCTTTCGGGACTGCTACGGCTGCTCTTCCACACGCGGAATCCCTGCAAACCTCCGCTCTTCCATTCCTCTCTCACGACCGAACTCCCATCGCAGACCCCGTCTCCCCTCTCATCTCCGACCTACCGTAAGACCCCGTCGTGCTCTTCCTCCTATCAAACAGAAGTCGAACTTACATGTACCCGGCCTTCTCCCGATCTCCTTTAAAGCCGACTGCCCCATCCCGACTCCGTTGCTTCTTCGACCCAGAGAGAGAGAGAAAGAGAGAAGTAGGGAGCATTCCACCTACCCGTTTGGAGCCCTAGCTCACCCGACACCTCTGCCTCCCTCCGACGTCGCTCCTTCCTGTTCGAATCGAAAGTCACAACATTTTGATCGGAAGCAGCAAACCGAGAGCTCAAGCATTGTGAAGGTAACTTGCTCCCTATCCCGAGCATCTTCGGCTAAATCCAAAAAAATGCAGCAGAACTATAGAGCTTATTAAACTTTTTTTTAGTTAAGTATAATTATTTTAATCTAATTTTAGTTAGTTATTTTTTAATATAATTACTTATTATTAAGTATAAGTTAATTATAATTAATATATTCTTTAATTATAATTAATTATTAATTAATGATGAATTAATCATAATTAATTAAATTTGATTATGATTAATTATCTTTTAATTATAATTAATTATTAATTAATCATATATTATTTATACTTAAATAAATTTAATTATGATTAAATTTTCTTTAATAATATTTAATTATTATTAATTATAACTAATTATTATTATTTAAAATTAATTATAAAAACTGATGAGAAATGAAAAAAAAAATACTTCCCTCCCTCGATGCTTGCAACGCGTCCAAACGACCACCTATACACGCTTTTCTCTAGCGTGGTAGGAGGAAGATTTGTGGACCTAAATCAGAACAAAACTCAAGTGATTTCTAAAAAATCAAATCCACATGAAATAAAATCAAAAATTGAACCAAATTCAAGTCAATACGAATATGAAATGAGTTTGCAAGGATTTCATAAATTGTGGACATAACACTTGAACTTGTAAGCATCTGCCTCAAGTCCAAATGAAATTGAACATGCAATCGGACTCAAAAGAACTTCAAAAGATCCTGACTAAGCACTTGAACTCAATGCGGACTACAAGGAATTGAGTCTTCAGGCTCTTAAAAATATGAAAATCCTAAATTCTCGAATGAACACAAACATTTGATGCATGCAAAGGACC